ACAAGAATACAAGCATAACCAGATAGAAATCGTTGTCGACAATGCAAGAACTCACACTGCGAAGTCATACTCATTACAAGAATTTGGTAAAAATATTGGTACTCGTTGCCCTATTGAACAAATCGAATATGTTGATGAAAATGGCGTACAAAAAGTTATTGATTGTTATTTTAAAGGGGGAGACAACAAAGGTAAATCAAAAGGTTTAGTTGAACTATGTAAAGATTTGGCTGTACAATTACCAGCTAAAATTAAATTAGACGACATTCGTGATATACTTTCAACGCATCGAGCTTTCCAAAATGCTACNATGCTACAAAACTTGAGATGCTAGGAATTAAATATAAAATTAAGATTATATACTGTCCTAAGTATCATTGCGAACTGAATGCAATCGAAGGTCTCTGGTGCAATCAAAAGGCATTTGTTTGCTCACGTACAGATCAAAGCTTCGATAAAATGATAAAATTAATATCGGAATCACGTATAAACTTTGTTGAGCGAAAAATTGCATTGAAATTATTTCGACGTTTCTGGCGCGCAATCGAATATTCTCAAGGTCAAACATATGCTGATGTATTAAAGCTGTTTTTCAGTCAACTCTGCAAAACAACAATTCAATCTCATCGCAAAATAACAAATAGAAACATAGACGAAGACTAATGGAAATATTTTTCCTATTTGAACACTTTTATTCTGCATGTATGCGTTTATATTATATAGCCAAGCATGAAAATTAATCAGTTTCTGCATTAAAAATGATTAAATCCTGATTAGAACAAAAAACTATGGTTTTTGGAGAAACGTTTTCCAGAGACCCCTTGAAGACCCTCTAGAGATCTTGAAAGTATACCCATTAGATTCATCATCAGTTTTTGTCTATGTAAAAAAAGTTTCACTTTATTTGAATAAAAAATAAGCATTTTATTGAAAAATGACCTTCCCCTTTTTCTATGATACCAGTAAAAACGAATTTTTTCAACAAAGGAAAGAAAAGAATGCGGGGTTTTGTAGCTGATGGTATGTTGAGTTGAATGAGATAAAACATTTGACTTCATCACTTATGTAAAAAAACTTGATACGTTTACAAAAACGACTTATGCGCATTGTACTCGGTGTGATTCGGAGTGCCACTGTGAAAAGATGTCGGGGTGTTAAGCCGATTTAACAACTCGTCTAGGCTCAGTTTTTGATGCTGAATCTGAAAAAATATTTTCAGAAACTCAGAGAAAGCACGAACCGAAATATAAGGCGTATTTTGAAAAAAATGTGTTTTTTGAAAAATACGACATACTTCGATTTTTTCGTATTTTCCGACCTGAAAAAGATATTTGTGTAAGGTAAAAAGTTGTTTTTCGTGATCAACAACTCTCACTCTATCAAATGATGTAAAGAAAACGGCAAAAAAAATTTTTACTTAAAGTTTGAATTGCCTGCATCTTATAAAGAAATACTTAAATAAAATATCGTTCTACATTTAGCCTATAGGGTACAGACAAGTCGGACTTGTCAACGCCGGCTAGCTAGATATCTTTCTTGTAATTCATAATCTTCAAAGTGATCTTCCGGCGAGTTAAACTGTTAACTCACCGAAAAATGGTAACAAATCGACAAAAACCGGTGGCAGAGCTGTGAAACAGAGAGCGTGGGAGAAACGCAAAAAAGTATATTTTACCATCTATTTTTGTCATGAGTTTCATTGTTATTTGATAATGGTATCGATTGTTCTTTGTCACATTCCTCAACACTTGATATTGTTCGATTAAATGCTTTATCCATCGTTTAATATGATTGACTCAGATATTCATGCTCTGTTTTATTAAGAATGGGCCGTTCAGCAAGAGGATTCCCAATAGCTTCAGATAGAACATCTATAACATTATTGCTTAAATGTGAAGGATAAAGCTTTAAGCAGCGGTGTATTATGCTCTCATGCAATGATTCTTGAAATTCAGTTAACAGGTTTAATATTAAAACCTTTTCCTCTAATCATGCTTGTTTATCTTTCTTACACACATAATTTGACGTTTGTTCCAATGCCGAGATTTGCGCATATTTAATTATATCTTGATACTCATTTCCGTGTAACTTTCTTTTGAGACACTTGCGGGATAATATTCATGCACAAGAACAATTGATTGAGATTTTGTAATAAATCAATGAAACATATTACACATTTCGAAAGCATCTTTCTGTATTTTAATCAATTCTTTAGGACTAAACATGGATGTGTGACATTGGAATATTTTGGAAGAAATATTAAGAATAAGTCTTAAGCGAATTAACTTCTCAGAAAGCGCTGTTTATATATCCGCGTAGAATTAAAACTCTTGTTTTTAAGAAACCTAATGCTATTAATTCGAAACTGCAATTCTGTTTTATTGTTTTTAATTACATATAAAGTTGTTCTTTCGTTCTCCTTATTTTGAGTGTAAAAGCATGAGTTCGTAAGGTTTTTCTCTTCGTCATGTAAGACGATGATATAATAACATGCTTTTTTGTTCTCTGTTCTTCTATTGTGGCTGAGGGCGAAAAAAATAGTTGACGTTTTATTGACATTTCTTCTTTAATATACAATAGAAAGACATGTTCGATTTCACTACCACAAAAACACCAAACCGATAAATCATTCACACGCAAGTTCTTGCTTTCTAGAGCAATTTTCCAATGATTCTGCCGATAATCTCTGTGGTAACGAAAATGTCCCTTATAGTGACGCTATATTTGAAGTTGTTCAAGATAAAACGAAGCATTTTGGATGTGCCATAATAAAGTTAATATGTGAACATCGTCGTAGAATCAAGATGCGGGAATGATTGTATTTAGTTAAAATCCAATTCTCGCATTGTACAGGAAGGGATCGTAGTTTAAATTCTCAGAGTTAACCGAAAAAAGGTCTCTTTTAGTCCAAAAAATGGCTTGGCATAGAGTACAACTTGTGTACTTCAAACTGTCAGAAAGACTGGAGAAGGGTACTTTCAAATTTGTTAACTTTTTACTCTGGGAAGTTGCCAGAATAAACACTAATTTCATGGTGAAGAGACTCTTTCTTTTGGATAAAACGATAAAATTTGTTCTCTTCTCCATTTCTT